TTTTTAACTTACCGTGAGAACATTTCAATATTAATGAATACATATTCGCCGCTATCGACCATATTCAATTCCTCAGCGGTCAGCATGATTCGGCGAATATTCTCTGGTTCTGCACACATTATGACAACTGAAAAGAGAAGAAAACAAAGGTTAACATTTAATAAACATTCACTTTTCCATTTTCTAAATATACATAGAAGCACAAGCATCTGCCAATTGAATACTAATCAGCCCGAAAATAAAGAATAAGAAATTTGATATTTACTGAGAAAAAAACGACCGCAAAATTTGTTTGCATTCCGAATTTATTTAAATATTTGCTTGACAACTATACATTTGCTATGCTCAGAGGTACATATCTGTGTTCGTATGGAAAAGTAGCTTATGTCGAAGAGCTGGATTTAGTATCAATCGGCATTCGCAGCATGCGATTGCGAATGACTCACAGCAACTGAGCTGTTGAACAACGTTTGGCAAATAAACGTGCCAGAAATAGTTCCGATACTAGCAAGTCATTATTCTTATTAAGTCTCATCGAAAAATTTCTGGGCGTTTAAAGAATAAAGGGAATGCTGCATTATACTAAAGCCAGCGTTTCGACATAAGCTACTTTTCCATACGAACACAGATATATAAGTATTTGATGTGACACTAACTGTAACTTTTGTGCTAACAATAAGCGTATTTGCTTATTAATAGGGCTAGAAATCTCATGTAAATGATTTTTATATTGGAATCACAAATTGCATTTATCGTTTACATAAATGAAGACACTGGCATCATTATTATGGAACCATGTATGCGCTCTAAAAGACCAACCAACCGTATGATGTATCTACGGTTTAAATACTTAAATTTTTTTGTATACAAGGGTGTAGCCAGCCTTTCACCTAGGGGAAGCAGGAGTTTATATAGAGGTAAAAAATATTTCTAATTAATTTTTTTTTGTGTACATATATGAATAGAAATTTTTGGGTTTAAGAAAGCAGAGGTGTTAAAGAATGCAATCATTTTTAACTAAATTATTCATTTGATTGAAGTCCCGAGTGATTGCAATAATTTTTTGTTAGTCCTGACCAAGACTAAAAAAATAATCTTTAAATATTTTTTTGATTTATGATTTATAAATCACTTTTTTATTATTTTTTTGGTAGTCACTTGATTTCAATAATTGGATTGCATTCTTTTAGTCACTTTTAATTAGTCATTTGATTTCGGCCATTGGATTGCAATCTTTTGCAGTACTTTAAATTTTTTCAGGGACCGAGAACGCGTTCCGGGTTTGGTTTATTTCTCAAGAAGAACAGAATGAAAAGTATCGAGAACATTTTCAAGGAGGATCAAATAAGAAAAAAAGTCTGGGAAACGTTCTGCTGGAGAACAAAACGAGAACAAAAGTTTTGAGAACTTAATGTTAAGAATGAGAGGGACGGCCGGATGTTAAGATGAGAGATCGTTTCAGTGAAAACCCTGACTTTTAATTCTAAGCCAGAAAAAGTCTTGATCATTTAAACTTCAAGATCGTTTATTGTTAGGGTGACTGTCCATTTCTGGAACAATTTTTCACTTTCTGTCCAAGAAAAGTTCATGCCGTAGGTCTTTCGTTCAGAATGTCGAAATTACATCTGGAACGCTTTCTGACAACAATTTTGAAAGTTTGCTGTTGCTAAAAGTTAACGGAGACGTATAAATAAGTTTGAAGGATCATTGTTAATTTTTTTTGGAAACATGTTCTCATGCACTTTGATAATTTTCATTTACATAATATGTACAGATTATGTGCATGTTTTAAATACAAAATTTATTTCATTGGAAGTTAGTGGAGTTTTAATTAAGCTTTTTGTGTACTCATTTACTTTCTAAACAAATTAGTATTATAATTCTATGAAAAAGTATACGCAAAGATTGCTTTAGATTTTCATTATTCACCTCAGACTAAAAAAATGACCAATTAGTCATTAATAACAGAAAAGACTAACGACTCCAATAGTGCAATACCTATCAAAAGCGGCTTTGAAATCGGCGAAAAGGTGATATCTATCGACTTGCTTATCTAAGGTCTTTAGAAGGATTTAACGAACTTCAAAACTCTACTCGAGAGTTTATTTTCCAGGTTTGAAGCCAAAATGATAAGATCGTATCGGGCGATTCATGAAAGCCTTCAGTGTTTAACACAGTGTTGTTGATGGAAAAGGAAAGGATCTCCCTTCCTTTGGGTTGGGAAAAGTACACTGAGATGCCAATCTTCGTCAGACCACTTTCCGCTGAAAATCTGGTGCTCTCGACGTGCGTTAACATCTTCATCTTTGCAGGAACTAGCCACGGGTATTGAAACCATTTATTTGTTGACTTATTTTGTGATCGAACTTTCGAGCCGCATTCCTGCCTGCCAGCATCGAAGCTCTTCGCACTCACATCTTTCTGCCTCTCTTTTCTTCCTCTAACTCGTGGTGCATAAATTTGCGAGTTCGTAACTTATAATAACTTAAAACAACAAAAATTTCAGTTCAAAACATACTATGCAGATAGAGCTTTGCTATCGTTATGGCCATTAGATGGCCATAAAAAGTTGTTGTAGGAAACATGTATGTATGTAAATATGTTGATAATAATTGCGAGATGATCAACTATGTTTATTCGTATAATTTATTCAAGTGAATTAAGAAACCGCTTAACTGCAATCTATAATAAATGATTATTAGATAGTTAACTACATTTATACATAGAACGATAAAAAGCAGTGAGCTATGTTGGATAGATGAGTAGCCAAATGATTTCGGCACGCAAAGACAAGGGGACGCCAGCAAACATCTAACAGACAGTTGGGCGTTAGTATTTTTAGCTACATATGCAAATTGAGTTGTTGGCGGTTTCAACTAAATATGTATTATTTTTTATTAATGTTATTGCAAACGCTGCCATATGTAAAATTTTTATTGCATAATTGACATTATTGTTTACGTATGCATAATATACTTTTGCTTCGTGATTTTTTTTTGTGTAAATAAATATGAGCGCAAGTACATTTGCATGTAGGGTTGTATGACTGTACAATTGCTACTTTAAGATGCATTACGAATGAATGTGATGCTTTGTTGAGCCAAGTTGTTGGCATAGAAATTCAGGCAGTAAGCATTTAAGCACAATTTTTAATACATATGTGTGTGTACTCGTATATACTCGTGTGCGGAACGCTCATCGCAATGATCGTTGTGAGGAGGACAGCCACACGAAAATAAAACGTGACGTGTAATTTTTATTGGTCACAACTAGACTTTATGGCGCTACAACTCGGCGCCCACGGTCGCTTGTTGACTAGGCAAATGACAACGTTTATATTCACAACACAAACATAAAGATAAAAGTAAGTTGTTAATCAATGTGTGAAATAGTTGCAATTAACACGTTTGTGGCAAATTTATATTGCTTTGCACTTTCATTATTTGTATTAAGCTAACGATGATCGGATATAAATGACAGTTGACGACCGAGATGAAGGAAGTCCGAGTACAAATGAAAAAGATACATCATTCCGTGACTTTAATGAGCATCTGTTGAGTGATTTCCACTTGATTTATGAGCAGTTAGAATGGAGAAAAGTTGAGTCATTTACTTTGAGTAATCATTGAGTGAACAGAATATAAATGAGTAATCGTTGTAATAAAGCTGAATAGAATCGTGTGGAAATGGTGACGAAGATTGGTAAGTTTGGTCAATAAGTAAACTAAGGTAAGTATCATCGTTTTGTCATGAATTATATACTTATGTATGCCACATTGCCAACCGATGTATTACAATCATTCGTTTTCATAATTCAGAAGTGGAATATAGCACCGGTAAAAGCAACTGAGGGATTCACAACGGTGTCGTAAGTGTCGTATTGTTGTATGTCGTAAACTTTAAAAGCTTGAATAAATGTTTGGAGAACTTGAAACCACAACCAACTATTTTTTAACACTGCGAAAATGCCTAATATAACTTGGATGGTACTTTGCGAACTCCCTTGATATATTTTTAGGCGTTTAAAGTTTACGACATACAACAATACGACACTTACGCCACCGTTGTGATTACCCCAAACACGTTTCAGAAGAAGATACAAATAAGCAAAATATAATTATAATTTCTAATAGAGCAGAGTCGGCTGCTGTGGTGTAGTGGTAAGCAGTGCGCGCTTCCACTCCGCAGCACCTGGGTTCAAACCCTGGTCAAAGCAACATCGCAAAAATATAGAAAAAAGGTTTTTTCTTGACAGCTGTCGTCCCTCGGCAGGCAATGGCATACCTCCGAGTGTATTTCTGCCATGAAAAACAGCTTCTCATAAAAATACAATCGCCGTTCGGAGTTGGCGTAAAAGTGTAGGTCCCTCCGCTTTCGGAGGAGAAGCTCGGCCAAACACTAACATATGTGTAAGCGCCAATCTATTATTATTATAATAGAGCATTGTCCACGGCTTAGATCCAATTTGTTTGGCAACCATAATAGTGAGATTAAAGTTATTTATTTTGAAACTGGCATAATTTATTTCCATCTTTTGTGCTTATATGGCTGGTTACTTCTGACTGAATGCTTCTGCAAATCGTTCTATGGTCATAAGCTATTAACAAAACTTTTTATCTTTGCCTGAAGAAGTTTAACGGATAACAGACACGTTCAGATACTGGTAAATTATCACTGAGTTAAATAGCATGAACTGCAAAAATGCTTACAGAATAGATCTTGAAAGCATTTTGCGAAGACAAAAACAAAATAGCACATCTAAAAAATACCATATCAACTTCGTTAGTTTTGAACCAAAATTTCCCAAAATTTCTTATGGTGCAGGTTTGATATGGACATTTCCATTGTGTCGAACGTGACCACAGTCCACATTCAAACGGAAAAAAAAACTTAATCTAAAACCTGTATTTATATTGACAGTAGGTTTAACTAATAGTTCTTAATTAGCTCTATAATTGGTGCTAAAGTTGATTTTGTCCAATTTTTCGTATTCAAGATAATTTCCAAAAAAAAAACAAGGCATTCGCGCGGGACAAAAACAGAAATGGTTTTCGCGGTCAATAATTCAAACGCCGATTTAAGCAAAATCTGAGGCAATATTTCAATGTGACTTGTTTTAGAATGTTGTGCATTGATGTCTCTTAAAAATGATTTTTAGATTATTTTATTTAATTTTAATCACTGTCGCACAGGACATCCTTTTCCATCGTAATGTTTTTGTTAATATTTCTTTTAAACGAATTTAATGAATGTTATGCCGAATATACTTTACATTTTGACCTCACTGCCAAATCAAGGTCAATTTTTTTTTTTTTGGAAATCTATGACTTATTATATTTCAACTACATGCGCTAATTTTGAACCATTTCGGACCATAAATACAGTTTTCCAAAATATATCGATCCTGGCGCCCCTAGAAAGATGATTTTTCTTACAAATGTTTCTGCCTACACAAGCAGTGTATATTGTAAAAAGCAGACAAATTGGCCCATATATACGAATTTTCTTTTTTCTCTCGGTAAACCTTCCAGAGGAAACACCCATTCGAATCGACTGAAATGTCAGAATCTGTAGTCGCCGAGCACAATATGATTGGCTGTAATGGACTTCAGCAGTTTTGATTTACACTTACGGTAGGACTTAGTCACCCTTGAATATATCGTTAATATTAAATGTATTTTTTCATCTTATCCACATTAATTAGACGTATTTCTTTAGTTTAAACTATTTATTTGTTTGGTCGGTGTGCATTGCACCAAAAATATGGAAATATTTCGTCGGTAGACTTAGGCACCACGTTCAAATGTCGAATTGGACCTTAGTTGCGCGATTTGGGCATTTCCATCAAATATAGTTTAGAAATAAGGAAGGGGCTGATGCTTTGCATTGATGCATTTACGAAGTCAGCCTATCTCATCAAATATCAGTATACATTTTCAATTTGATTTTTTTTGCAATTATAGTTCATATACGTATGCAGTTTCCGTTTTTAATTTAATAACAATCAGACTATAAAATAAGTCTTTTATTAATATCTGGACTCCAGCGCCACCCATTTTTCATAAAAGTATTTCTAATCGCACCTGCATATACGTTTTCAATTTTACCTACATAAATTGGATGGTTAATACAGATTTTACGAATATCGCGGCTCTAGCGCCCCCTAGCGGATTAATTTCTCGTATAATAATAATTTATAATATAATATAATTTTAATCAAAATAGGATCATAAATACAGATTTACTGAATATCTGGACACACGCGCCACCTAGCGGATTAAAAAATAGCCTATATATAGCAGTGCCACGAAATATATTGTCTAAACTTAGCTGACAGCTGGAGCATAGTTGAAAAAAGCGGCTACATTTATATTCATATTTATGTACATAAACAGATCCCAAGTCGGTCAAAAGCCTTGTCTGACGGAAAAATTTTACATATTGAGAACCCTTCTTCTTGTCTTGAAATTTCATTGTCTCGCTGGAATTTACACATTTGGGTACAAAGCATATTATGCCTGCCTAATGACATACATGCTAATTAGTACTTTTAAAATTTTATTTGAATAATCACTGAATTAAAAATACGTTTCGATTTTATTGCCAATTAATTTGTAAAAAAAAATTAGCAAGTGTAATTTATGTTGACACTTATTGACCTACTGACGCGTCGTATGCATAACACCTTGTAATGATTATACATACATACAGTAACAAACAAAAGTACTGGCACAGTGAATTTTTCTCAATGTATGCTAAGGTTTTTATTGTGATTTATTTTGGCTAATTTTTTATAAAAATCATAAATATAAAATCTCTAAACTTTGGGCAAAACTCATGAAAATTCACTAAATTTGCATACTAATTCTAGATATACAAATTTAATGAATTTTCCTGAGTTTTGCACAAAGTTCAGAGATTTTATTTTTATGTATTTTGGTGTAGTATGAACTACATATATTTTTTATAAAAAGATCATCGAAAATAAATTAGAATAAAAACCTTTGCATATATAGCTAAAAATTCGTTGTGCTAATACTTTTGTTCGCCACTGTATGTATGAACGTGAGTTGTTAAGCAAATGTGTGTAGTATGTTTGTGTTAAACATTATTGATTAAAATTAAATAATCATCAAAAGGCGTATAATTTAAAAGTCATATCATATCCAATATGGCTTATTTACGTTGATAATGCTGTGCGAAATGATTGGTCAACCTGTGTAATCAATGGCAGCGGTCATCAAACTTTCTGGTTTGTCATTAAAGTACATACATATATACGCATACAAACAAACTGAAACACATCCCCTGCTGGAAATGGGTAACTTACATTAACTACCCAGCAGCGCACTAGTTGTAACTTTTTATTACTTATTCTCTTCGGCCGTAACTAACTACTTTTGAAGGGCGATGGCCGCAAACAAGACAAAAACCGGTTTCCTCTACATTAGGTGACAACTAACTAACAACTTTTGGACATAAAATATACATAAATATGAAAAAAAAGATTATCCCATATTCGGATTCCGCCAGAAATATTTTCAAAATGATAATATCAAATTTCGATCTCCACTTTATTTGTCCACAATTCGTAAAAGTATATGTGGAGTGCGGAAAAAAATAGCATTCAAAGTAAACTTGGTATGAGCATATTTAAATAGAAACTTGTTTAAAGAACAACTCCCGATTACATATGCATGACTTCCGCGTTTCTTTTTAACTAGTTCAATTTAGCTTTTTGTAGTTAACTAAAAGTTATATATTTTATTGAAATCACACAAAAAAGCTTACTACAAATGGGTTATTTTTTTTAGAAATTTAGAATTTTTCTGCGCCGGAACTTATATTTGGAGAGAAAGATAAAGCGCACATTACACGTTGAGGCCTTAAAGCGGTTGTATATATACGTCATACTAACGTTTTTAACTTCATACGTATACATACATCCATACATACCAATGTAAATATTTAATTATAGGGTTAATATTGATTTTATGGGTAAATAAAGCTGTATCAGGTAAACCTTTGCACTATAATTAATTGTGGAAGTATAATTATAATGTGCACTATATTTATGCACTTAATTTTGTAATTAAATCAACTTAAAGAGAATAAATAATTTTCCATGATATACTTACTACGTATGTATATGTAGTTGAAGACTAATTTTAGTTCAGCTGAAAGCGTGTAAATATTTTATTTAGACTACATTTTGAATTATTCCCAACGAAATGTGCCTTCTGTAATTACATTTGTTACGTTTCAAAGGCTTATGAAGCCTTTATATTTATTGCACTACATAGAAACTTTAAACTCATGGCTGTTTACCCTGGATAAGCTAGGCATCGCGTCTGGGAGCCATAAAAACCCAAATTTTCGAGGTGGTCACAAATTTTTGATCGGAGGGATAATTAGCTAATAAAATGAGATAGTCATTCAAGATACATATACTAAGTACTAGATCCTGTGACCAATTAATATTCTTGGTATCGACAAATTATACGAACCGGTTAGGAAGGGATCGGAGACGAAATGAAGTGTATAGTTTCAATTTCTGTTGATGGCACCGCATTAAATTTGGAGCGAATACTTTGTAAAGCATTTTCGTTGGGATTATGTCGTTGGAAAGAACCTTGACAAATGTATAGCTTGTTTAGAAAGACGTAATAGGATGCGGCAAACCATCCACAGAATCCGGAAAAACATAAACTATGAAAAAACCAAAGCGGGCGGTATACGAAATGGCGTTTGTTATTCCAAAAGTTATGGTTAGATCTAAACATTCGAACCGAAGTCAAAAACCGAGAAGCCAAAGGACCTGCTCTAGCCCTGTTTTTTGAAATAATAGAAGTGTGGTTTGGGTGATATGTATACATATGTACAATAAATATAAACTACTTAATTTTAGTTGAACACTAAACAATTTAGTGTTTCAATTCCATGATCTGTAAGAAATGTTTCAAGTTAAAAATGTAATTAAACAGCCATAATCTTCATCAATTCCATCCATAAGTCTCTCCTTAATTCTATTACTTAGTACTTACCTCGCACCTCCTTAGAGAGTTTCGTTAACATATTAGTGATCTTCGTGCCATTCCATGTGTTCCTATCGAATCCCTGCTGCATTACCGAACGTGCTCCCAGCTTTTCATGTATCACATATGAACAGAAGAAGCACACTGAATATCCCTTGTCATCGATGTTGTCCGATTCGTAGATTAAAGCCGTGCGCGTCCAATTGAATTCATTGATGATCGCAAATACTGCATTGCCCAGATTGTTGCCCTGGGTGCCGCGTAAACGCGTTAAAGTGGGGAAATTTCCTGCTTTCTTGCCAAATGCCGAAGCGCTTCCACCAGTTGTTATAACTGGTATATTATAGGCGCCAGCATAACGTGAAATCGGCGCCAAAACATATTCGCATGGCAGTCCGAAGATGGCATTCAAATCGGGTTGTTGCAGGAAAACCTCGTAGAAGCCAATGGGCCCGTAAATGGACGAACAGAATGAATCGCGGGCAATGAGCGTAAAATCAATGTAGGCTTTGTGAAAGCCTCTCTTCTGCACCATGCCAATACCGAGTTCGAGTGCGGGCAACATTTTCGCCATGAAGCAATCATTGTTTCGATCCGGCTCGGTGCTTGGCATCATGGCTAGCAGTATGATATGGTATTGAGCATAATTATCATCTGGGTCATTGTGTCGTGGCGCTAAAAATTTTTGCACAAATTCGCTCTTCACACCCTTCGCAACAAAGGGAAATGCACGGCTGGCGATCTGGGTGTGCAGCAGTGTGGGCTCCGATGGCAATTGTGTGACATTGGAAGCAATGGTGGTGGCGGTGGCGGTGGTTGAGTTGGTGGCAGCTGCTAATGTGACAGCGATTACGAGGAGCAGCAGCAGCGTTTCAGTGACTAAATACCGCAGATGCCGCTGCATAATGCTACCACCGATTCCCATTGCGTTGTGATGCGTGTCGGGCGATTAAAGCATTTTACCGCTAATAAGCGGGCGGGCGTTTATGTAGTTTGTGAGAAGTGTTTGCGATTTGTCGCTGTTATCAGGACTCTTTAACGTTTTTCACTCTGTAAGTTAGTTTTATTCGGCAGTATTCTACACCCATATACATTATTTAGCTTTTGTGAGTGCAGTTGGCATTAACGCGTTTGTTTGCGCGTATTTAAGTTTATAACATTGCACATTTCCTTTTATTTTTGTTTTTTTGAACTAAATTATCAGTCATCTGGTAAAGGGGTTTATTATTTTTTGGTAATAAATTCATTTTAACTGAATTTGCGATGTATGACAAACACTTATTCATTGATAACGCATTATTTGCCATTGTATTTCACTTTCAATCCTCACATATCTTCCTCATTCAGTTGTTTGCTTATTTGTTAATATTTTACCATTACCTACTTGTATTTAGCAAAAATCACAGTTTGGTTTTTAAATGTTCCAAAAATGTTTTTTTTTTGTCAAAGGCGGTACTTATTTTTCTCCCCAATTGCGTTTAATATACATATGATTTAACTGCTTTTTAAGGACAAATATGCAAAAAGTTTGAGCAAATTTATAATTAATCTAATAGCTTTAACTTAATAGTTACAATCGGCCACCTACGCAGGAAGGTGTTCTCTGCAACACACCTTTCTGCGTTCTATTGGAATGAGTTTGTATTGCGACGATCTTGATTGGGTTGAATTTACCGGGATGAGTTCCTTTTGGGATAAGGTTGTATTGACATATTTTGGGTTAAATCTTCCGGGATGAATTGTTTTGGGATGGGTTCTCTGGGATGAATTTACCTAGAACCCAAAAAACTGTTCTGAACCAGGTCCGAACTGGTCCCGGACTAGATCGAACATGATTGTGAACTAGGCCTAAACTGGTCCCCCAACTAGACCAAAACTGATCCGGGAGTAGACCCAACAAAGTCCCCAACTTGCCCCAACAGTGTCTTGAACTAGTTGCAAAAGGATCTCAAACTAATCCCGAAAGAGTCACAAACTGTGTCAACAAGCAACGTTGCTCGAACAGCTGATTAGATTTGTTTTTATTTGTACTACATCTGAATTTGATTTTTACATTTGGCAGTTACAGAGCGGAATTTTTTGTTGGGCAGGGTTTTAGCGTGTCGGGACCCAAACCCAGCGCACGAGAAGTTTTACGCCTTCTCACTTTAGCTCGCTCCCAAACGGGTGTTTGGTTGCTACCCAGAGGATACGTGGATATAAATATCCGGACGTTGTGAGCTACGATTTGAACCGTACGCACAAGAATCGCTCTTGGCCACTTCCAGGTGAATGGCAGTCAAAAGTTGTCCACTTCTGCATACGGAACCATCCTGGAAAGACCAGTTGGAGAAGGACTTGGCTTCTCTTGGCATATCCAATTGGCGTCAGTTAGCACAGAAGCGAATTGACTAGCGTGCTGTTTTGGACTCGGCCAAAATCGCTTAGGCGGTTACAGCGCCAAAAAGAAGAAGAAGAAGTTACAGAGTGCTCATGTCTGGTAATTCTTTTATTGAGCTGAACTGAAATTTGAGGCTGATAGAAACCTCTCCACCAACGTTCACGTTTGGATTCTTCTTCTTTTGGGACTTGGTCGCTTGGAAAATGGGTATCGAGGAAAGCTTAAGCGACTTCTAGCCATCCATAGCCCGATTTCCCATCTCGTACCTAAAATATCCTAAGGCAACAGGTTTCATTGTAATCTCGCCTAAATATATAATTTTCATATTGCTCAAGCCATTTATAGCCACAGTAATGAATATTGGCATCCTTTTCGTTAACAGATTGTCATTTTCTTAACGGATTTCTTTAGATGTATGTATTTGTGTTAACCTGGGTACTTCTCGAGTTTTGGATGATTGTCTTGAAGTTATTACACAAATGGAGGAAACTTAAGTTTTACTCCCCCCACATTGAGGGCAAGATTTCAGTACAAAAATCTGTAGTTAAGAGCCGATTCTAAGTGAACTGTGAATTTAGCCCTGAATTGCAAATGATTTTTTGTTGAAAGCTTTTTTGTTTTCTGAAATAGCTACCATACGCCGGTTGCTGTTTAAGGACTCGTTTTAGATTCATTTTACTCTATGGGAACAAAAGCAGAAGAAGTGTATATATTTTTTTGGGTATAATTAATTTTTGTAGCAAATTGAGGCATCCGGGATTAATCTTGCGTATCAAAAATCTATAGAAAATTCATTTAAAAGCGACCAAATCCAGAACTACGAAACTTGAGTATATCTCTAGAAAATCATGAATCATTACAGCGGGTAACTAAACCAAATCTACTAATTTTTTCTATAGAAGGTCGCTGTGAAGAAAAGGTATTGCTCTTTAGAAATAAAGAAAAATAGGTTTCTCAGATTTCAACTAGTAATAGAGAAATGTAAAAATAAAAGTAAACTGAAGTATCTATGAGTATTCCAAGATATTTTAGGCTAGGCTTCGGAAAAGGTTTAATGTTGAAGCATGCTTTGAGAAGATTTTTGCATTATAAAATCATCTGAACTAGTCGTTCCTAAAAACAGCACAAATCGTGTTTTCATCATAACTTTTTTTTCATGGCCCGATTCTAAAGTCTGAATCATCATTCAAAAATTAAGAGGCTAAATAAGTTGTCGGTGCTTATGAAACCTCCCCCAACCAGACAATTAAGTCATAAAGCGTCAGATGAGGTAACATACAGTAGAATGCAACTGCGTGTGCTTAATTATTTGTAGGTGATCTGAATACGATTAGAGTTTTTCATAAAAGTATGAAGTACGGAGATAAGAACAATGAGACAACGGTGAATAAATAGAGATATATGACTCCAGGCAGCCGCTGTGGTACAGTGGTAAGATATAGTGGGTCTTGGTTCAAGCCCTGGTCAAAGCAACATCGCAAAAAAATATAGAAAAAAGATTTTTTCTTAACAGCGGTCGCCCCTCGGCAGGCAATGGCAAACCTCCGAGTGTATTTCTGCCATGAAAAACAGCTTCGCAGTCGGCGCACGCCACAAGTCGGAGGAGAAGCTCGGCCAAACACTAACATATGGGTATGCGCCAATCTATATATATGACTCCGTGTGAGAAATTGATTTATATAAGGCTTATAGCTTGAACGTATTTAAAGGCATAATTATTACTCTAAAAGATAAGATTCTCGGTCTCGGTCTCGGTCTCGGTTCTCGGTTCTCGGGTCTGAAGTCTCGGCCAAAGAAAGACCAACGAATCTACTTGATGATTGTGATATCACCTCCAGAAGACGGAATGAGAGCTAAGATGAGATTAGATTTGGGTTTAAATTAAAAAGATATATGTAGAACATGATTTGCTTTTGCCTTTGACAATTTTGTGTTTAATTTTTTAGTAGTAAAGATTCTCCTAATCATGAAATTTCGTTGGAAACGGCAGTTCAAATTACTTTTGGATATACATACATATTTATATCTGTGGTACCAAGTATATACATACATATGTATGTATGTAAATGACAACAAAGAAGAAAAATAAGGTTATTAAAAAGGGGTGTGGCAGCGCGCGTATTAGTTTAAATAACAATGGGCAAATATATCTTTCTCGCCTGGGCATCACAATTGCCCTTTCGCCGCAGTGCTAGCACGGATGCCACAAGCTTAGAGAAAATTTGAGCAAACAATTTTAGAAACATTACCAAAAAGTTAGCAAAAATATTAAATGTAAACTTTATGAAAGGAGCTTATTTAATTTAAACATTGTTGTGGCGGCGTAACTGTGAGCTAATTAACAAAATTTTAAAAACATAATTTTCTGATAGTGTCACTTGCACTCATTTTGTTGACGTCTGGCGTACGTCGCAACATCCAAAAATTGCGGGAAAGGTTTTCTAAAGCGGTCTCCTCTTGATGGACGATCCCTCCATTCGTGTGACACCATCAAAACGCACAAACTGTACCAAACTGTACTAAACTCTTAACAAATATGTGGAAGACAACCCTTTATAAAAGAATATTTTGAGACATAGATAGCATAATTATGCCCCATTTTGATTTTTCACGGCATGTCGGTTAATTCATTTTGAGCGAATAAAATTAAATATTGAACTTCTCCTCGTCATAAATAATAACTCACAATTTCGCATGCATGCACATAATACTAGATTGGCGCTCACACAACATGTTAGTGTTTGGCCGAGCTTCTCCTCCGATTTGTGGCGAGCGCCTTGACGTTGTCACACAAAGGGAGGGGACATACAGTTTTACGAACTTGTGTTTTTATTAGAAACAGTTTTTCATGGCAGAATACACTCAGAGGTTTGCCATCGCCTGCCCAAAAGCGACCGCTATTACTAAAAAAAAAAAACTTTTTAATTCTTTTGAATTTGATGCTTGAAATACAATACCGGCGAACGGCAAACTTCGCCGAATTGGGCGATGCTGTCGTTCACCGTTCGCCCAGCTATTTCGCCTACTTAAACAGAATTAGAGCGGTAGCGAAAACAGCTGATCCCATTTGGTCGCCTTTATAATTTGGGTGACCATATTTAGAAAAAATTAGTCCATATTTAGAAATGAGGAAATGATAACAAATATAAATGTAAAACAAGGAAAGATTATTATAAATAATTTGTTTCAAGCCAGATTTAACGAATCCACAACTATATTTTTCAAAGAACAAAAAAAAAAAATCGTTTTTAGGTTGTTTTCTTTTAAAACTTTGAAAGCAAAAAACAAATACGGCCACCTTTGGCACGCACAGCTGTCATCGCCCAGCAGGGCGATAGAAATAAATCTATCGCCATGAAACGCCGCCAAGCGAACTTCGCATTTCGCTTTGGCTGTGTTCAATTTCATATGCTTGCGGGTGTTCTAATTTTGACAGCGCGAATTTCGCAGTGGTGAGTTCGCCGTTCGCCGGCATTGTATTTCAGCTATGATGTTGGTCGGAACCTGGGCTCGAACCCAAGACTTGCGGAATGGCAGTGCACTCTCCTAACCATCACACCACAGCGGCCGCTAGTGTGTACATATGTATGTATAAACCTACCTTTAAAACAAACTTCGGTGCACCGAAGAAATTGTCTATATGCTCACGAGTAAGTTACTATGCCGCAAATATTAAATGATATTCCACAACGAGCGGAAAGTTACCAAATGAAATTAAAAGTTACCAAGTTACCAAACAGAAAAAAAGTTACCATTTGTGGTAATAAATTACCAAAGTGGCAACCGTGAGTGCTAGTCCAATAAACTCAACAAGACA